CATCGCCTCGGAATTAGGTTTTAGAATTCCACACCTACCCAAAGCTACCATGCGCTGCATGGTGATTAAAAATTAAACACTGACTTAATCCCAATGAACAATCTGAGGTACTGTATCGCATCCCATGCCTAAAATGTCCCTTTAAATATACAGATCAAACTGAACGCAGGCTCGGATCGCGCATACCCGAACATAAGCCGGCTGTACGGTGGGGCGATGAAGTAGCGCAAGTGGCAGCTTACACCTATGAAACAGGCCATGAGTTCAACTTCGCAGCCGTCCAGATACTCGAGAACACGGGGAACATGTCGAGCTGAGAGTTGATTGAAGCCTAGTCCATGGATGGAAACTCAATGAATCGATGTATCGAATTGGCGCCGGCGTTCAGAGCCCTGTGCAGTCACGTCCAGACGTCTGTCACTGACACTGACACACACACCACCTATGATTACCCCCTTTTATACTGTTTTTTACCTGTGACGATCTGGCGACCTCCGACTTTTGGTTGGTGTATACTCCCCTTTTGTCACTATTTTTTACCTCTGAAGATGAACTCCTGTAAGGGGTTTAAAGCTAAGTATAACACACCAATTGTTCTGGTTCTCGACACGCCTTATCCCTTACCCATAAAGCCTCATGCATTATACTGAAAACCCCGGGACTATTCCTAAGAATAATCTTCTTTCCTCAATGTAGAAATCGCCTACAACAAAACTATCAGACTAACCAGTAACGAAAAGCTCAAAGTTTACGTATTTTATGTTTAACTACCCAACGCTTAAAATAGAACTATCAATTTAATTACACTTCATGTCATTAAAAGGACGTACAGTTCCACTTTGTCGTTTAAAAGTCGTACCCCCTACGCTACCTGTGCAAGCAACCTCAAAGCATGCCTACGAGTTCCAAGTTAGCCCATGATTAAAGCATACTCGTCGTAGTGGCTTGAGCACACATTAAAGTAACTTATCAAGTCGACGGAAAATCTACCACGCCGACGTTATATAACGGATTCTGGACACGATGCCCCATGACGCATTTCAACTTTATACCTTTCTAGCAGCCTTCATTCAGACGCCAACCTGACTTTGTCAAACAGCTGTACCATGATATAACGCAGCTGTCGTAATTCTTACTGTTTTGGTTCCCTTTTGCCCTGTTCAGCTCTCAGGCTGCTTTCCTCTTAAGCTAAACTGTTTTCATTCTCAGTTCAACTGCCGACCTTGAGGCCATAATCCCAGCTGTGTGAAGGGATTAACAGTGACCTTGAGCTCCACCAATCGAAGCTCTTTCTTTATAGGCGGTAGTGGCAAGCTTTTGACGCTAAAATATCCTGCTTCGTTGCGAATTGGATCTGTTTTTTTACAAAGCAAGGTCGTTTTACAGGACAGGCTGGTGAATGCGCAATTGACTGCCCTGTCTTTCATCATCTGGATTGCATTCAGGGACTACGAGCGTCCTCAGGCTGTCACGTAAGGTTTGCAGTAACCGAAAAACGCCCAGGAAATAAGTAGACAACAACAGTTAAGTTAGAAACTCAGCGAGGGTCAAACATTCTTCGACGATTATTTCTAGTTCTCAGTAAGTAGGTTAATCAGTTTGGACCTCACTGAGCTTCCCGGTCGTCGCAGCCCTAAGGAGATCAGGAGCAAGATAACTAGTAGAGGATTAAACACTTTTTCACAGTAAGCAAAAAGTACTGGCAACATTTTCACGGTGGTAGGCAGTAGCAGGGGAAACATCCGTCGCTGCAAATAATCTGTTTACTTAAAGCTATTTAACGTAATATTTTTATGCTACTAGTATTCCCTGGTGGTGCACAGAGATTCGTTGTGTGCTCAACGGAACCACGTTGGCAGGAAAGTCTTCTCCCTCTTTACATCGAGGGGAATAAAATGTGCAGATGTCATCGTATTTTTAGGCGTGAGCAAAAAATAAGGGGTTTAGGGAGTTTCGGTGTATAAAGTCGCGCAGCTTACGCCTAGGCTAGTCGAAACGACTCCTATTAATTATCTCATTAGAGGCCGTTCAATCCCCGCTGATAAATGCCCCTGTATCAACATCGGCTAAAAAGATCGATTAAAGTTGAATTTACCCTTGCAAAAAACGTTCAGTGAGAGAGAGAGGGAGAGAGAGCAGATCGGCTGAAAACAGAACAGACAGCTCAGATTGGTTTTTGCGGAAAGTGGCCTAATTGTAGCGGCGATCTATGGCAACAGACATGATGACATGATAAATGCGAAACCATCCAGACATACCCAGGCACGTGGCGAGTTCCCAGCATTGGCGCAGGATGACCACACCATGCTCCAACTTTGCGCCCTCATCGGCGTTCTCCACTGCGGCGAAGAGGTGGAAGAGGC